TCACTTCGTACCCCCCCCCCCCCGCCCTCCCTAAGAGGACCTCTGCGTTCGCTTATGTAAATGTTGTCCACATGGCACCCCCAAACGCAGGATGTACCAACGTGCAGTGTTAGACAAGAAATAACTCACCAAAAACACTGAACGCATTCTCCTGTACAGTGCAGTTACGTACATACATGCTCTGAAAAAACGAAGAACTACACACTAGAATATTTGGAGTCAATTTTTAACCACTATTTTCGCGTGCACTGCGTATGAATATTAATGATTCTCCAAAGACTATGGTATACATTATGTGAAGACTATGGTATACATTATGTGAAGATTATGTCCAAAGACTATGGTATACATTATGTGAGAAGCCGTTGTGAAGGGCTTCGAAAAGTTTGAGCATCTGGTGTGCTATCGTGCACTAGTATCACACAGTACGAGATCCTCGACCACTTCACCTCAGTCGAAATGCACCCACCACGACCACGATCGAACCTGTGACCTTTGAGTCAGGAGCAGTGCACCGCAGTCAATACACCGCTTCGGCGTACACATGCTCTGCTTGGGTTTCCTGCAAGTTACTTCTACTTATATGCTTTTAGTCATAAGTACTTACTGCAGAGCAAAACAAGTGTATGTTTTTAGTAAGCATTAAGGTCAGTAATGCTTTGAATTGCAGCATAAATAAAAATGGCGCTCATCATGCGACTCGACGGTGACGAACACATCTGTAGGCGCTCTGCCCCTTCCTAGAGACAATGCATTCTGTTGCGTCTGTTGGGCTGCAAGAAACTACTAAAGAAACATGATCCTGCCATCATTGGAAACCGTATCAGATGAAAGCAACGTGTGGCCTGCCGGAAGTAGTGGAATGTTTATCTAGTATTGATATAAAAAAGGCTTTGCACAATATCAATGAGTGTGTAGCAGCTGTAGCAGCACTGAACATGCATGCATCTTCATTGAAGCTTGCTGAGACATCCCCATGCCAACGACTTTGTGGAGCAGTTGTAGAAGTGGTCGGTGAGAGCGTAAAGAGGTGCGGCAAATACAATATCGTCGCTGAGAGAACGCAGAACTTAGGCTAAGGCCGTCATCCCACGTCCTGTTAAACAGCTATCGAACACAATGACTGGTGGTGGTGGTAGTGGTTAGAAGATGAGAAAGGCACCTAATTTCGGCAACCCGGTCGAGAGCATGGCGCAGTGCCTCAATGACTGGATTAGAGTGGAACGCAACGAACGTCTAACTCCACTCTGTCCTGGCCGGTATTTTCTCGAGTCCAGGAATAGGGACGCACCCAGTCCTCTCTTGAAATACATTTCTGAAATAGATATATTCGAGGTGAATGTAAGCGGGGAACGCGAAGAAGAAGAAGAAGAAGAAGAAGAAGAAGAAGAAGAAGAAGAAGAAGAAGAAGAAGAAGAAGAAGAAGAAGAAGAAGAAGAAGAAGAAGAAGAAGAAGAAGAAGAAGAAGAAGAAGAAGAAGAAGAAGAAGAAGAAGAAGAAGAAGAAGAAGAAGAAGAAGAAGAAGAAGAAGAAGAAGAGAAGAAGAAGAAGAAGAAGAAGAAGAAGAAGAAGAAGAGCCAGGTAACTGTGGCACGCAGCCGTGCTTGTGGTGTAGCCAAGAACCGGGTAGATATAACGAAATTCTTTTATTTTGAAAGCTTACTGCTTTTAAAGAATGGGACGAATTGATTAACAGAAAATACTGAATATTAGACATTGATAAAAAAATTACGGACATAAAATTGACGCGGATAATTTCAGCAACAGCAATAAATTAATTAATAAATAAAGTATTTTGGAAACAAGGGATTCAGGTGTACTAAATGGTTCAACAACCTGAATCTTTAGAACCTTCAACAAACTCCTGAATTGCTTTGGCAGCTTTCCCATCACTGAATCTTGGGGACGAAACCCCCAAATAAAGTGAATTAGGAGTGTAACTCCAATCTTATGAGATGGAAGGTGGCACCTAATGTGTTTCGCGCAATGCGGCGCATCTCTTCAAGATATTAGATAATAGTCTTTTTATCAGGAACTCCACAAAACCAACTATTAGGGAATACAGCCAGACCAGCTCTCTTTAAATAAATATTGAGATGATGAGTTTGACACCACAGTCTACTGATTGCGACTTCACCTGTACGCGTGCGACATATTTTACTGTTTCAACGGTGATTTCAGTGTTTTTACTCCACTGTATTTAATATGGACGGTAGAGAAAATTCTTCTAACATGATTTTTCTCCTAAATATAACAAGTGAACTACGAGGCCATCTAACGCATCCGCCATTCCACTGAGAAAAAGACTTTTATATTTTGATACCAAAATCATTTTAACGAAAAGTATATGTGTAAATGTAACTTAATAAGGTATATATGTTAAAGGAACCCTAAAAGTGTGAGGAAGAACATAGCAAAGTGCAGAATCGCATCGCCATTGGCTGGTAAGCTCGAATATTTCGCTCTCTGGCTACGCATTGCCTGTATTGCTGCTATTGTCACAGTCATTGCAAACCGTATTAAGCCCCCATAACAAAAGAGAGAATGACATCGGCTCGGATTAACTGCAATCTGTGAATCTTAATGCCATTATTTCCGCTATTTTAAGTTCATTATTAGCGGATAAAGTGAATTTTAATCTAAATTTTGCCCCGAAATCTCTACGCGTAACGTCCGAAATTACAAAATTTATATGTGGTATTTTCGCGACAATAAAGTGATAGAATTTTCTAAAACTTCCTATGCTAGATCTATGACAACCTAATATGAAGATGTACTCAAATTTTGTCGCAAGAAAGCTACGTGGGACCACTTAGACACCTTAAAAATTTATGACATCCCTGTGTTTCGTTCGGAAGTCTCAAAATGGCGTACCCCTGGTGTTTTCTTTTGGAACATTTTTTCCCCTGAAAAATACCATGCCGCGATAAAAGTGACGTTTGCGGGATTGTGAAATTGTGCTTTACTAACTCGTAAAACATCATTTACCTTCTTGGTGTCCTTTAAAGCCAAAAGAGAGAGGCGCGCGTCATGGAGGTGTTCTTGATATCAATGAATGCTTAGAGTGAGGCTGCAGCTTGGGCTAACGTCATCGCTACTGCGGTTTGGTAAAGCCTTGACAAAATTGCCCCTTTCGTCTTAAAAACTCGCTGAAAGGCACACACGTGTAGCAAGGGAGCGTTGCTGGAGACGACTTCATCGCTGAGGCCACAATGCATTACTGAGCTTTGTCGCTTTCAGACGCCGACAACAACGCGGCAAACAAGAGCACTGTGAGGGAAAAGCGACAGATAGAAAAAGCGGGTTCGTAAGGTTTCCGGAGTGTGTGACCGTGGGGTTGTAGATAAAATGCCAGGCAACTGTTGTGGCGGACCGAAAGTACGTATGTTTGACTCAAGTTGAGAGAACCTTTTCCTTGTGGCAGTCAGATTATGTCCTTATTTTTTTGATGTCCTTTCCGTAATGAAAATACGTAATTGAACTCTTGGTGTACCCCGGCGTAAAACACGTTTGTGTTAAAAGGCAAATAAACTCTCGCTCCCCAAGTGACCATCCTGTCTCTGTCGCTTTGAATTTGGCAACACACACACACACACACACACACACACACACACACACACACACACACACACACACACACACACACACACACACACACACACACACACACACACATATATATATATATATATATATATATATATATATATATATATATATATATATATATATATATATATGTGTGTGTGTGTGTGTGTGTGACGGGAAAGCTGCCTTAGCATTCCAGGTGTTTATTGAAGGTTCAAAAGATTCAGGTTGTTGAACCATTTATTACACCTAAATCACTTGTTTCCAAATAACTTTATTTATTAAATTAATTATTGCTGTTGCTGAAATTATCTGCGTCATTTTTATGTCCGTCATTTTTATGATATATATATATATATATATATATATATATCAACGGCTACATTTCTTCGCACATGCATTGAGCCTTTACACAAATAGGTGTAAAAAATTTTAACTTCGTAAGCAAGCTCTGGATACAAGAAGCGGTATTTGTCATATATATATATATATATATATATATATATATATATATTTATATATTTATATATATCACAACAACAAGGCATAGCGAATCAGTTGCTTTATTTCATTCACGTTCAAAGGCTCTGGAAACCAACAGATTATATACTAGGTGAACATGTCCGTGTCGTGATTACTTTCCCGGCTGTTTTCGGGTATATGTATATGCGTGTGCGAGGAGAAGAAAATGTTTTTATGAACTGGCGACTTTTTCAGATAGCCGTTTATAAAGTATTTTCCCCTGACCTGACACAATTTGTTCAAAAAAAAACACACAAGTCGTTGATTTTCATATATTTACATCTTTATTTCAATGAGCTTCTTTTCATAGCAATGTTCACAAATAATTAATTAACACAAATTTTTGCTTTCGGCTGATGATTAGTTGAGTCTTAAAGGTGGACGGCAGATTCTCAATGTAATACCTTGCTGTGACATCTCAGAACTGGTGTAGACGAATCGCAGAAGCGTCAATTTGCATAAAGGTTTCCCCCAAAGTTAGAAAAAAATTAAGTGTTTGGGGTGTGACTGCACCCTAACTTTTCAACACAAAACATACTGGCACACAAAATGGCTGTCAGACGCCATTCACTGCTGCTTAAGGATATATACATTTCTGGCTTGAGGCGTAGCTCTGAGAACTCCATGGCATTGAGGAGCCAAGTATTGGTGACCCTTCACGAAGCCCGGACAGCCGTAATAGCCAAGGAGGCTCCGTAAAATAGGTCTTTTCACAGTGTCCATGGAACGAGCAGCCTTACTTCGGCAGCTTGTGTTTTTTTTTTTTTTGTATATATCAAGCATTCCTCATCATGATCATCTTGTCAAGACAAGATGCCTGTCACTCTTGCCATCTACTTTGTGAATCTTTCTCAACCACTTGTTAAAGAAACTGCACGTGAACCTTACATGTTTCAGATATAGTTCTTTTCTTTTTTATTACTAAAACAGTTTTCTTACTGTGTGTAGGCAGATTCAATTAAGTGAAATATTTGTGTGAGCCTGCTACTTAAAGATACACTCATACATTTCTTGATTGAGGCGTGGCTCTGAGAACTCCATGGATTCGGGGAGCCAAATATTGGTGACCCTTGACGAAGTCAGGACCGCCGGTCGACTGCCTGTGCCATCACTTCCTAATCTGTTCGAGAACCTTGTGCATCCTCCAGGGCAGATTCTCAATCCAGAAATCCTTCACGAACGCCGACATTATCTTTCCCAAGATTGAAGCAACCGTCTGGACGGTGTCTCCCGCACCTTCAACTTTCACGTCCAGTGTTTCGATCCACTTCGGCGAGACCCGGACCGGCCGGAGCGTCACGTTGTTCTCCACTTCGTCCACCTCGAAGTTGATGCATACCTTGACGTGATTCGCATGTGTGGCGACGACGCCGGACTTGCCACCGCAGTACTTCCAAGGGATTGAAATCTTCAGTGGTGCCCGGGACACCAGGCTAACGTCAACGCGAGGCTTGGCGTTCTTGCAGTAGACACGGAGGGTGCCGTAGCGCTCCAAATGAGACAGACCGGTTAAGGTAGTCTCGCCTGTGGTGATGCCAGGGAGTACTTCGTTGCCCTTGGACGAGTTGTTTGATCCTCTACGAAAAATGTACTCGTTTGGCATCTGAGCCAGAAAGCGCTCCGTCAGAACCTCCAAGTCCTCGTCGGGTATGCGACATTTTTCTGCGTGATTAAGATGAGATTATGCAACAGGTAACGTGTGCGTCTTCTAACAAACAAGAGACGGTGATGAAATAAAGAACGAAACTGGCAAGAGCACAATAAAAAGCAAAATAATTGAATCATTCATTGAGGGCGCCGATCACAGTGTCACGGAGATTTCACGTATTGTTACAGAAAAAATTATTAGAGGCATATCGTTAAGCAGATAGACAAAAAAGTTTTGCTTGCTCTGTAGTAAGGCACACATAAGAATTTTTGTTTTTACTTCATGTCGGGCCCTGAGCTCACATTGCATTTATTACAATACAGCAAACACTGCTGAGGTTTAATGATGAAATTCAATAGCCATGCGGGAAAAAAGACATTTTTATTCCGTAGCATAAGTTAATTTATGTGAGAACGTTAAAGGCGTTTTCACGACACAAGCTTCTGCTTGGACATCATTCTTTTTCGGTTGGTTTTTACAGAATTTCAGTAGAAACTTCTTTTTAAGTCTCTTTGATTACAACATGCGCGCAACAAATGACAACAACCCGATTGCTACCCGAATTTTTTGTCTTCGTAATGATAATGTTTGAGTTGAACTTCATGCTGCTGCAAAGCGAAGAATTTAAACGGTAGTTTACGTAACACTTTAATAAATTTCATGTCAACACGAGACCAATGCTTGCTGAAATCAGAGTGCGAACTGTCCAGGATATACGCAAGAATATACAACATGAAATATTTACAAGCGACATTGCTCGTTACGCACGCAGAGCCAACCGGTTCCCGCATAATTTTTACTAAGAGAGGAACAATTGCGTTTCGCAAGCATGCAGCCAAATTACACTACTAGAGCGTTCTCTCAGATTAGATCGTAAAAGAAAGAATACTGAGCGGAATAAGCCACATGACAACTCCTTCTTGCATCCAGAGCTTGCTTACGAAGTTCAAATTTATTACACCTATTTGTGTGAAGGTTCAATGCATCTGTGAAGAAATGGAGCCGTTGATATATATATATATATATATATATATATATATATATATATATATATATATATATATATATATATATATATATATATATACGTGTGTGTGGGCAAGAAGATTAATTGGCAAAGATCTGTAGAGCGCACAACAGACGTATACTCAGTACGACAAGCAGCCACGCAATACTCACGGAAACTCATGGAACTCTTAAAAAGGACGAACGAAAGCAACAATTCTGACAGTCTGAACGTTGTGCTTTTGTCAAAAATATACGAATCTACAATGAAATAGAAAGTTGACGATTCTGACCCAAAACTCCATCGCATAAACGGAGAAAATAAAATGTATAAACTATCTTCAAGCATTATTTTCTCACAAACAAATGAATGATGGCGGCGTGATACACTTACCGGGTATTGAAGCCGCTAGCCCGACCATAAGAGAAACAAAGAGCAGGACTTGATGCAAGGACGCCATTTTTTCTCTGTCTAGGCGCTAGCAAAATCAGAGTGAAGAAATAATAACAAATCAGAGCGTCTATCAAGTGTTGACGTAATACTGGTACTTCAGAAAGAGAAAAGCGAAGTGAGCGATTATTCCATGCACCCAAACAATAATTATTTATTACAATGCGCTGCCATACCGCCTGGTATTGGTAGTCACGCTGCCGGAATCATTCAGTGAAGTTGAAAGTCATTATTACCTAAATAGTGATCAACTTTGTATCTTTACTTAACAAAATGAAATATATAAGAAAGTCCAAGCGTTCTTGATGGCTAATTCAACAGGATTTTCTTTCGATTCGTAAGTCTTCACTGCATGTTTGCTCGTTAGGACAGTAAATAAATAAATACAGCAGTTCTAAACCTGATATAATTTTCTGTAGTTTTGAGGACTATTGATGAGGGACAGATGATCTATTATTCATATTTCGAACCCTTTACGAGCGAATATATTACAGGCGCGCCACTTAAGCGGGCTCTTCTTGAGCACGGTTTGTATTCTGCGGTGTTATAGAGACGTAAACGGTTTTTCTTGAATATACTGCCGTTTCCGCATTTTACAGGTTTTTGGAAGTATAGAATTTATGTACGGGTGATACTCTAGCAATTATTGCTGCAATAAATAGACAAGCATCGCTCTTATTCACATGTTTATACCAATAATTGACAGAGATCAGTTTACAAATGCCATACCCATGCACTGCCAAAATGTCGCGGCTGTGCAAGTATTTTGCGCGAGTTGGTTTTGCTTCGTCTCTTTGTAAAAATAACATTTGAGAAGCAAGAAAGTTTAGCAAACACGTAGGCTTGCGTTCTTTGAAAGGGTGTCTAAGTTTGCAAGTCAGAACAAAGAAGTCTATTCTCACGAAGACTCAATGTTCTTCCTTCACAAACCCTAATTGAACAAAGTCTTCCAGCATAAATAAAGTATCACAACAAGTACGTATGTGTGCTGAATGTTCCCAAAGGCTGATATGAGCACAAACCACAAAGGAACACTGGGCGTCAAGCGACGTAATCGATATATTATCGCATACCTAAGGTCATTCAAGCAAGCACGTATACGGCGTCAACCCATCAAAAATAACTAGAAAACTAAAAAAATTGTGAGAAAAGTAATACGCACCGCCTATACCTGAGCGACTGTGTGGTGTTGTCAGCCGACTACAAGCTTCTTATATCGCAGGCCCACCAAGCACGTCTATTTATATAGCCACAAATACAGGCAACACTTTAGCGCCTAACAACACAAGTAGCAAAGCTCAAAAGTCTTAAGATGGTGAAATGGGAAACTAATGGGCTGTTCTTCCTGCTCACCGAGCACTAAGGGCTGAATTAACGATGCACCGCGGTGTTTGCATAAAGGAGGAAGTCATCAAGACGTCTCAAAAGTGCGGGACCTCCAATGGTTTCATGTTCGCGGCAAGCTCTATCGAAGGTATGGTTTAAAAGTATATAACACATAATGTGCGGGGTCATGGACGCCAAAATACCATCAAGCAAGGCACCCGAAGCAGCCATGCCACCAACGTCCTTGTGCACGTATTGAATCCTTGCCAACGCGGCGTAACCACCGCATTAAGCGTTATGGAATACGAGGCCTGCATAACGAATTTTTTTTTTTGTATTTGCAATACAAAACGGTGGCTGATTTCTCGAAACTCAAAGGTTGAGAGGTCATTGCTCGGCATCTGAGCGATTAATCAACGGCGTAACTTCTGTGCCCGAAACGCAGTAAACGTTTGTTCCTTGGTGTGCGAGTGTTTTTGAGGCAGTAGACATAATTCTTAAGCGTCTCACGAAATGTCTACCAACAAACGTACTTATGTTTCTTGTTCATACTCCATGTAATAATAGAGGGAATTGAAACGCAATATCTGCTAATAAAAACGGCAAGTTGCATTTCAAGTCGGGTTATAGGGATGAATAAGGCAACATTAGATCATGAAAGCAATGGGCAAATGTGGTAATAATGTTACGACGAGAAGAAACCAGACCCACAGTTGCAGAGTTAGTATATTCACAGTGATCGCAGAGGTTTCCCAGGCGGAGATCAGTCCCGTCGTTTCCCTCTAAATTAAGAGAACTTCCTCGTTCTCTTTACCGCAACATCAATATCTCGGCGGGCGTAGCTCCGTCCCGGTGCACATGATAGAGCACCAGTTGAGGCGGGGATATACGGCTTGAGCCTGGCGACGTGAATAACGCCGCTGTTGACGTGAGGTAGCAAAGACACATCAGCTGGTGCAATCTCGTACATCACGTCACACAGTTGGCGCAAGATCTGGTACTGACCAGAGTAGTGACAGAGGAGGTTTTCAGCCAAGCCAACACGGCGTGAGGGTGTCCAAAGGAGGACAAGAGAGCTTAAAGAAAATTGTGTGTCTCGGTGCTGGCGATCGTTGCGTCTCTTTTGAGAAGCTTGCGATGTTTTGAGGCTTTGACAAGCAACCTCTCAGGCATGGACGGCCAAAGTAATTGCTTCGCGGGTGTAATCAGTCGTTGAGGATTTGACACCAGATGGTAGCAACGCGTCGAACGACAAGACAGGGCCGAGGCCATACCAAAGGTTAAATGGTGAAAATCCGGCGGTTTTATGACAGGATGAATTGTAAGCAAAATGTATGTATCGTAAATTGGCATCCCAGTCATGGTGATCATCGGAAACGTACATGGCATCATGTCAATTAGTGTGGTTCAGTCGCTCGGTGAGCCCATTCGATTCAGGATGGTACGTGGTAGTGATCAATACCACAAGGGCCGAGCAGGTCATCGACGACTTTTGGCAAAAAGTAACGGCCACGATCCGTTAGTAACTGTAGAGGTCGAGGGGCGCCGTGGTGCACGATGCACGATGACGTCATGGAGCAGAAAATCCGCAACATCTGTATACAGCGCAGCTAGTCGTTGTCACGTGTGCAATGGCGTAACTTGTGGCATAATCTGTCGTGACGGCAATCCGCTTGTTCCTTTTGGAAGAAATGGGGAATGTGCCAAGTAGGTCTAAGCCCACACGGGAGAATGGTTCTGTCGGGACCTCAATTGGCTGAAGCAAACCAGCAGGAAGCAAATCAGGCCTCTTCCGCCGCTGACACAAGCATAGCCTCCAATATTTTTCTTGCCTGCCGGATGAGTGCGAAATGCCCGTCATCTATGGCGGCACCACCTACGTAGGGTTAAGGGTCTTTCTACTTGGCTTTTGAGATCACCAACTTTGGCACTGGCTAATTTCAGAGGCTATGCCTTGTATTGAAGGGGTTGCCAGCGGAATTAGCGCAAAACTCCCGTGATCTATCGTGGTGTCACTTACGTAGGGTTAAGTATATTAAATATAATTACGCTTACGCTTTTTAAAACCTTTCTTTCCGTTATATTTGCTGCATATAAGCTCAAAAAAGGTAAAAGCTTATTTGAAGGCAACCCTACTTAAGCTGGCACCACAACTGCGGTTCCGTACGACGGCCGCTTCCCAAGGGACCACCGATAATCTGGAGGCAAGGGCAATCTAGGAGGCTGTAACACAGGTCACAGGAAGTGACATATCAGCGCACAGAGCGATAGGGACCAGGCCATAAGAAGCGGCAATGCCTTACGCGGTTGTAAGTCAGAGTGACGCCAATTTGTGCAGTAGTAGGAGCATCGTGAGATTCCTAAAGCACAGCGAACCGCAGGTGCTTGGAAACGACAAGTAAGAGCTCAGGACCACTGAGACTGAATGTTGCAGCGGTACAAAATGCCGTCATGCAATGTGAACATCTGGAGAGAGGGGTCGGTGGAAGCGTAGTTTAGGTGGTTTATAAGGTTTTAGAAGAACAGGGTCTTGTCGTTTCTCGCTGTCTATGTGTAGAAAGCCGGATGTGGAAAAAGTACAGATGTCCATGTCACCATCAGTGTCATCCAGTTGATCCACAGGATTGCGAGAAAGGCAGTGATCATCGTTGTGAGTGCGTCCAGATTTATGAACAATTATTAAGTCATACTCTTGTAGACGCAATGCCCAACGCGCTAGTCGTCCAGTTGGGTCCTTCAAAGAGAAGAGCCAACAGAGGGCGTGGTGATCCGTGACGACACGGAAATTGACAACCGAACAAGTACGGTCGAAAGTTTTGCAAGAGCCCTAAACGAGTGCAAGGCATTCTCGCTCAGTTATGGAGTAATTGGGTTCGGGCGTGGAGAGAAAGCGACTCATATAAGCGATGACACGGTCAGTGGCCCTGTTCGATTTTGAGCGGTAACGGCGCCGATACCATGACCACTCGCGTCAATGTGGACTTCAGTGGGCGCGGAAGGGTCGAAGTGCGAGAAATCGATGGACTTGTAAGCCGCTTAGTAAGGGTAGAGAACGCTCACTCTTGATGCGCTCCCCAGAAGAAGGTGGTATTCTTCTTAAGAAGGTCGCTCAGCGGACGAACGATGGTAAAAATTTTTTTACAAATCGGCAGAAATATGAGCATCAACGCATAAAACTGCGGACATCTCTCGTCGATGAAGGAATCGGAAAAATTCACATAACACAAAATTTTCTGGGTCAGGTTGGATTACTACTACGTTTACGAGATGTCCGAGCACGGTTATTTCGCGGTGACCGAAGTGGCACTTAGACAAATTCAGCTCAAAGCCAGCAGAGCAAAACACCGAGAGGATAGTTCTAAGGCGCTGTAGGTGACTTTCAAAGGTCTCCGAAAGCACGATAACGTCGTCTAGGTGACAGAGGCCCGTTGACCCCTTTAAGCCACGCAAGAGGGAGTGCATCATGCGCTCAAATGTAGCTGGCGCATTGCACAGTCCAAAAAGCATGACTTTGAACTGGTATGAGCCATCTGGTGTTAAGAAGGTGGTTTTTTCGCGGCTTCATGTCATCAACTGATCTGCCAATAGCCTGAACGGAGATCGATTGAAGAAAATTAGTTTAATTCGTGAAGGCAGTCAAGGGCGTCATCTATTCAGGGCAGTGGGTACACATCTTTTTTGGTTATCCGGTTCAGGCGACGGTAATGGGCGCAGAAGCGCCACGAGTTGCCCTTTTTCTTCAGCAAGACCACTGGGGATGCCCACGAGCCACTCGATGGTTCAACGTGTGCTTGTTGATCATCTTGTTCACCTCTTTTTTATGGTGGTCCTTTACTGTAGCGGAGATGCAATATGGCCTCCTACGAATGGGGCTCGCGTCACCGGGGGGGTTTCGATGGGTGACAACAGACGTATGTACCAAAGGCCACTCGTCCAGGTCAAAGATATCCCGTTACGATGACAGCAGGTGACGAAGAGCTGTTGTCTGTTCCTTAGGAAGGTCAGAGGCAATAATCTTATAAACGTTGTCGGCGAGGACGAAGCAGTCGGCGACAAAGGTGTGCTGCAGTAAAAGAGATAGGGAGTGGTCAAAAAAGTAATATTATATTCTTGCAGAACAGAGAGACTCACCATGGCGATGCCCTCGGGAAACACGTGCGCAGAAAATCTAAAATTTATGATTGGTATGCAAGCCCGATCCTCCTGTGTTGGGACTATAGTGCCTGGCGGGGCAATATTTCTCGTCAAAACCACGTCAGCGAGCGGCGATAATATTTAATGGGCGGCTAAAGTGCAAGGGCAACTCTGCTAAATCAGTCGCGTTTCCTAAGTGCTAAGCTTTGTTTACTGGTTCAATTTGGATATTAAGTAGTCAAATAGCATTGACAAGACCACTGACTCTGTCAAGAAAGAAGCTATCACTGCACTTCTAGGGCCATCACATTTCGAATCTGTCATGAAGACGCTTTGTACGCGGGTCTGATCTGCCCTGCCTCTGCCAATCTATGTTCTCGCAGTGGTCACGCACATACGAACAACGTACGATGTCTTAATGCCTCCGATAAAATGCGCATGTGACGTACTTTGAAGCATATCAGACTAGACCACCGTGGCATCGCCACGGTGGGTCTGGTGGCTGAGGTACTCGGCTGCTGACCCGTAAGTGCCGGGATCGAATCCTGACTGTGGCAGCTGCAATTTCGATGGAGGTGAAAATGTTGTAGGCCCATGTGCTCGGATTTGGGTGCACGTTGAAGAACCCTCGGCGGTCGAAATTTCCGGAGCCCTTCACTATGGCATCGCTCATAATCGTATGGTGATTTTGGCACGTTGAACCCCACATATCAACAAACTTCTCTGCGTTGCATAATCGCCC